TGGACCGTCAATTTCTTTGGTCATGTGCAGGAAGACGCAAACGTGTGTATAGCTCATGCTCGTGACACATTCGATACGTAAAGACCACCGATTTGTTCTGTACTGTGTGTCAGGTATGCGTCGGACGTGACCGGCCATGAAAAAGGTGATGAAAAGCTGAGCAATTCCGTGACCCGCGACATCGATTCTACCGCTCTATACTGCAGTGTCAGTGGAGTCTGGGGCCGATCATGAATGCGATCAGAGTCTGGACCAAGTCAGCGCTCAACCACATGGCTATGGAGAAGGAGTTGGACGTGTGAATATCGTTATCGTGCATAGTCGAAGTGCATCGCGAATTCTTCCGCGTTCGTACATGTGGCAAAGTGTTGTCCGTGTACGACATCTTGGGCGAAGAAAACGAACGTTGCATGACCGAGTCAAGTGCTGACACTCGTGAGTGTCGGGCAAAGTACGGCCATTCCAGGTCTCTGGAAGTATCTCAATGTACCTTACATTGTCACCGTTCTCTTTGCGTTGGGCCATGACGCAGAACAATTGCGACTCTGCTATTCAAAGGAAGTGGCAACGATCTTGGCACCACGTCTCGCAGCAAAACACGACATTCCAGCGTCTCGTCGTTCGCGAGACTGAAAAGCATAAGTGGATAAGTGTATTGCTATCCGCGTACGTTCTTTTGCGCTGCGAAGAAAACACGCGTAGAAAAAAACAAGTGATGGACCAGATGAACTCGACTGGTTTATGCCGGTGACAGGCAAACGCGTGTCGAGTATGCTTTTTTGGCTGGCGTGCCACCGCAAATCCGCGACCATGACTCGCGCGCTCGTAGCTGATACAATCTGACTCGATCGTAGGTCCAGCCATTGTTCAGCGAACGTCTACATTGAGCCAGCAGCTTCAATGTGTGCAAGTGGACTCGTTGTGCAACAAGCGCTGGTCTGCCAACGTCAACGCGAGGAACCTTTTCTTCTCGCTCAAAAAAGAAATGCGACACGCACGACCATGTCGACGTTTCTGCAAAGATACCCCAAAGCTTGAGCACGTGGACTCGTGGTCAGGATGCTGCAAAGATGCTCTGCGTACAGCAGCCAGCGCTTCTTGGAGAAAGAAGTCATTGGTCATTGAGGCGTTATGATCGTTGCAAGCTGGACAGACAACAAAGTCGGCAAACGATCTGTCTCGAATTTGCAAGTCAAGTCAGCGAACGACAGCACCAGAAAACAAGCACAGGGTGTTTCGCTTTGGCCGTCGACCCGTCGTTCAGCAGAAATTTCACCATACCTCTTGCCGATCCCGGATGTTCATCTTTGTTTCCAGAGCTGTAACGCCGTCCCAAAAAACTTGTGGATAGTCTAACATGAACATGTCAAGCTCAACACGCGTTCGTTGACCATGTATCGTCATCGGTACTTGCAAGACGCGCTCGTTGCCCATGTATCGTCATCGGTGCTTGCGTACCCCGGCATTGAGCGCAACTTGTAGCATCGATCGTTGGCTACAGCAGCAGCAATTAGCCCGATTCATTGTGTTTTCATTGAAATAAATAGGTTCGCAAGCGATCTGAGCTCTTCTGTCTAAGGCTGAGCGAGAATGATGAGTCTTCTTAGGCAGCTTTACCGCTTGGTCGTGTCTAGGCGGTCGACAAACTTCTCCAGTTGTCGTCGACACGTATTGCGCAGCCGCTGCTTCCACGGCGACTTTTCCTGCTCCTTGTTGTACGTGACGAGCGTTCCCGAGTACACTTGGTCCAGCCCCTTGACTCCTCGGCGCGAGGAGACATGGATCAACGATCCCTCGGTCGCTACCGAGCGCTCGTACGACTGCGTGAGCTGAGCAGCAACAAACAGTGCATCGACCCAGTCGTCCGTTCGCTCGCGGTCGTAGGCAAAGAGCTCCATGCTCTCGCCGGCAGGGCCTCGCGCGATGATGCCGCCAATGTCTGTCGCGCGCACCCCAGCAACCGCAATCTGAACCACCGCCATAGCATTGCCCACCGGCCCTTTCGAGAGCCACAGCACCTCGTTGCGCAGTCGCGCGTACATTTTGAGCCAGCAGTCGTCGCTCTTTTTCCAGTACATCCATCCCTGTTCACAGCACTCGCTCGCTTCCAGTTGCTCGTCGGCATCATCGTCATAGTCGCCCATCACGCCGCTGCAGGAACTCGTAGCGGTCGACAGCGACGTGAGCGAGTCCGACGACTGCGACGCCGACACGGACGAGAGCATACTCAAGTTGCCACACGTCGAGCGCTGACTGTCCATCGACTTGTTCGTGGACTTGCTGCACGAGGACCGCACACGTACGCGCTCTTGTTGCTGCAATTGCTGCAGTTGCTGCTGCGGTAGTCGCTTCTTCTGCTGCTGCTTCCGCCGCGAGGGCGTTGCCGCCAAAGACAGCCGCCGCATGGGGTTTGTGTGTGTGTGTGTGTGCCGACGCGGTGCAAATTGCAAAGTACGGGCTCGTCGACGCGTTTTTCCTCGCAATTGAGCCAGAGGGAGCGGGCGCGCCACAGGGCTGCTGCAGGCAGACAGGACGCGACGCGCAACAGGAGACGAGACGACCAGCTTGGCGGTAGAAGCGCCACGTTTGTGCCCCGTTTTTTGCCTCCTCTATCTGGAGATGTCACATGTGAGCAACGGCGGGACCGATCGCGCGGACAAAAACGGGACGACCTCCTTGTCTCCCCTTGCAACGAAAGACCCGCCAGCCAACGATAATACAGTGAGACGGACGGACGGACGGACGGACAGTCGGCCGGACCAATAGACGGCAACGAGAGCAAGTCATTTGTTAGTCCGTCGGTCCGTCAGTCGATTAGTCTGTCCGTCAGTCAGTCAGTCAGTCAGTCACCAGGACGGCTCGGCGGCTTTCTGGCGCCACTGCGTGAGACACCCGAGCAGCGCTCGGCACCGAGATCGCTTGCTCGCCCGACGATAAGACACGAGGCTGCCGCGGTAGGCGCTATGGCGCGGCAGCCGTCGGGCCTCGAGCTCCGTGGCGCGGAAAAACTGGGACGTGAGCGCCGCTGCCTCCTCGAGTCGGTGATGCCACTCGCTAAAGCTGTCTTCGTCCAGGAGCCAGATCTCCATGTGCTCTCCGTTTGGGTCCACGACGCGCAGCTGGCGCTGGCCCGACACGTGGACGTCCGAGACGGCGATTTGGAGGAACATGGTCTTGCTCGAGTGATTGGTCTTGAACAGCCAGAGAAACTCACTGTCGAGCACGCCGTAGACCTTGGTCCAGCAGTGCGCGTTGCTAGCGTCGCGTTGCCAGTACATCCAGTCCTTGAGCGTCTCGCTCGATGACGACAGCGAGGGTGACGCCAGCACTGTCGCTCGCTCGGACGACGCTCGTGAGATGAACGTGCTGATGTCCGTGTTGGCCATTGCCGTGCGACGCAGTGTCCGCTGCTTGACGCGATTGGAAAACGAGCTCATGAGGCGCTTGTCAATGTGGTTTGACCGTGCAAATGACAGAGTGTTTGCTTCATTGCTTTCGACTCGAGTTGCGAATGTGCGTCGCTCGAACGCGTTGCGACGAAGCCACACGCATCTTCGAGTCGAGGGTGTCAAGAGAATCCCGCGTCCAGTCACCGTCTATTATGAAGTGGCTCTGGATTTTCAGCGCTGTTGGCGCGGAGCGATCGTCTGTAGAACTGGCAAATGACCCGCCATCATACGCTGTTCAAGACCTCTTTCTCTCTGTTAACATCCGACGGTCGCGCTCTCGAATCGAGAGGACGTGGTAAGTTTTGTCAAGCGGTAGTGGCTTATTCGTTGATACGGTTTCTACACGCCAAGCGGCCATCACGGAACACCGCATGTGACTTTGTTCGGTCATCGCTGGGAAGGGGACCCACCTACCTCGGCAGCCGATGTGCAGAGATGGATGCACTCGATGGTCGTTAGGCATGAGCCGTCTCGGAGTGTTGATTCTGGGTGCGGTGCTTGCTGGCAGCCCAAAGCGTTCAGTCCCAGCTCCGTGCGTCAGTGTCTCGTGTAGTTCGTATTGCGTGTGGACGAGTTTCCACCTGCGATCATGAGCGCTGACAGGTGCGTTCCGCCAAAATTGGGTGCGCACGGTCCGACGCGATTCTTCTTCCGTCGAATGTGCTCTCTCGCCTACTACTTATTATCCACCGTAATGTGCGATCCTCCAGGCCCTCCTCCATTGCCATAGTGCGAGCAGTACGACAAACTTGCGACACTAGCATGAGGATGGCGTTTTTTATGGGACGCGCCAACCATAGCGCGCCCGACTATTCTCGGACCTTGCAACGAAATAGACAAACGCAGCGACAAGCCAAAGTCCGTACGTGTGCACTCGCATCACGCAGTTGGCGAACATGGCTCACCTCGATCGACGTACCTCCACACCGGTGAGCGCACAGTTTGCAAAAGCTTTCGATGGCTTTCGAGATACTCTGACGACCGTCCAGCAGATCGATTGATCGGTTCGTCGGCTTTGTCGTTGCACGGACTCGTGAATTTCCGGTGCATCGCAGTCAACCAGACGCTTCCCCACTGCGTGTGTTCTCACCCGCTCGCGCGCGTCCCACTTTGTGACGTGCCATCTGCTCAGCCACGTTGGACGAGACAGGACAGGACGGGCCGCCAACCACTAGAGTAGTCCTCGCATTGAGGCGCCCTCTCCTTCCCGATACTGTTTCTCTCTCGCTCTCTCTCTCTCTCTCTCTCTCTCTCTCTCTCTCTCTCTCTCTCTCTCGCTCTTTCTTTTTCTTTCTGTTTCTCGCTTTTCTTCTCCTCCTAAACTCAGTGCATTTCCGCCACCGAGTCAGTGCTTGTCCACTCACGCGATCGATCCGCCCATGCTGGATCCATATCCCCAGCCCCAGACTGCCGAGCTACGGCGGCGCGTCCCGCTGGACTACGGCACGTCCACTGAGGGCGACGCACCGGACCGATGGGACTACGTGATTGTGTTCCCACACCCGCCCAAGCGCGTGATCGAAGCGAGCGACGAGCGCGACACGATCATCAAGCGCCTGCGTGGGGCAGGGCTGCAGCTGCGTCTCTTCTATTCTAGCGGCAAAGAGCTCGTGTTCTGCAAGATACGCGCCCCGGAGAACCTCATGCGGCGGGACGCTGAGCTCCTCGGCATGCGCTTGCAGCTGGACGCGGCAGAGCTGCGCCACGCGTCGTTCCACGGCATTCCCGAGTACGGCATTGCGCCGTTCCCGCTTCGCGACGTGAAGCAGACGTACCGCTACTCGCCGTTTGACTATATCTTCGCGCCGTACTTCCAAGCGCGTGACTTGCAGCAGTTTTACGCGCGGAAGGGACCCAATGGATCGCTCTTCTCGAGCACGGACCGCATTGGCCTCATTGAGCACATTATCACCAACCACCAGACAGGGGCGGGGCAGGACATTGACCGACTCATCTACGAGCAGATCATTGTCGAGACGTATCCGTTGCACAAAGAGCAAGAGAAGATGGACCTGAAGGAGCGCTGGATTGTGTGGAACACGTCGCCGATGAACCAACCGTTTGACCGTATCTGCCAGTACTTTGGCGTCAAGGTGGCGCTCTACTTTCTATACGTCGGACACTACACCAAGTGGCTATTGTACCCGACGCTGATTGGAATCCTCACGGGTGTCGTGAGCTACTGCATCCCACATGACAACTACAGTACCGTGTTTGCCTACATCTCGCCGCTTTTTGGAGCGTTCATGACAATCTGGATGACCATCTACCTCGAGAACTGGAAGCGGCTTAGCTCGCGAGAGACGCTACGCTGGGGCACAGCACACTTTTCAGAGACGGTGAATCTTCGCCCGCAGTTCTACGGCGAGCGCATCCCCTCGCCCATCAATGGCAAGCCCACGCGATACTTTCCCCCTCGTGAGAAGCTCAAGCGAGTGGCCTACAGTTGGGTGGTCATCTCTTTCCTCATCCTGGTCGTGTTCGTCATCGTGTCCTCGATTTTCATGCTAACGTACGACCTGACCAAGGGCGACGACTCGGACAAGCTCGTGCTGGATAATTACAAGTACGGCTCGATCGTGTCGTCGCTCGCCAACGTTGTCCAGATCACCATCATGACAAAGATCTACAACTACGTTTCGATTGTGCTTGTGGATCAGGAAAACCACCGCACGGATATGGAGTACGAGAACAGTCTCATTATCAAGACTGTCATCTTTCAGTTTGTAAACAACTACGCGGGTCTGTTTTACGTGGCGTTCCTGAAAGAAGGATTCGAAGGTTGCGATGTGAGCTGCATGCACGAGCTCGAGTACATGCTCGCGATCGTGTTCTGCTCGCGACTGTTTGTGGGCAACATTGCCGAAGTGGCTGTTCCTCGCCTGTTTGTGTACTTCAGCAGGTACCAGTTACTGGGTCACTTGAATGACTACAAGCAGTCCGACGCTGAACGCGAACTTTTTATGGCGCAGTACGACTGGCACGGTACCTTTGACGACTACACGGAGATGGCGCTCCAGTTTGGTTTTACGACAATGTTTGTCGTGGCTTTTCCGTTTGCGCCTATGCTGTCCTACGTGAACAACTACTTTGAGATCCGCTTGGACGCATACCGTCTCATTTTCGAGTCGCGTCGTCCACGCCCGCGTAACGTGCGCAGCATGGGATACTGGTACCAGGTGCTGCAAGCGTTTGCAGCGATCTCCGTGTGTACCAATGGTGCAGTTATCATTTTCACAGGCGACTTCTTCAATCATCTGGAAATGCCTACCCGCGTGTGGATGTTCACAATCTTCATCAACGGCATGTTCCTGTTCAAATACTTCCTCGAGATCTGCATCGCCGACGTGCCGGAGGATGTGACAGTGCAGAAGTATCGCCAAGAGTTCCTCATCAGTAAGTGTCTGTACCACATGCCTGACGACGACGTCAACTGCCCGATCGGTGACAACTGCGATGACCTGGCAAATGAGCTCACTATTGTCGATGAAGACTCTTCGTGAACGTGAGGTGCATCAGTTGCCAGTGCAAACGGGGCCAATGTGCATGCAGCTAGTCGACGAGACTCATTCTGTCCAAAAGAGCTTACCTACCTGTTGCTTTCCCAAAAGAAAAGTTTCACATGTGAAAACCTGTTGGTCAAGTGCATCAGTGAGGTGCAATCGTTCCCGTGACACGCAGAAGGCGCTGTCGAACCCAATCGGCTGCCGCAATGTAAATGGACTGCTCTTCGTACTCACACTTTGTCATTGTCTTTTCGTCAGCTCAAAAAATGGACAGTGTCAGCGACACTGTATCAGATACAGTAGCAGACTGACACATGCTTTCGTGTCTGTCTTCTATCGGAACTGACAGGTGTAGCCATACCGTTGCGTGCGACCGGCCCCAGCTGTTTTTTTTGGGTAGTCAGACAAAGTACTGTGTTTTGCGCTCGCACCTGCGTGTTCGGTGCACGTGTGTGCGCCTTGTTGCGTCTTTTCAGCCAATCGGCGGTCGTCGTGCGTGCCAGCGACTTTGGGAGGCACAAAGAGCCGAACGGCTCGCGGGGCTGGACGCTTGGCGCTGGGCTCGATATGCGGCACTTGCCGCGCAGAGACGTTGACGAGGAAGTTCACGACGCAGCGGAGGAGCTTGGGAGAGCCATTGGCGGAAGCGAAGGTCCGCGTATGTGCGACGAAGACGAAGAAAAGGCTGCAGAAGGGAACGAATTTTTCAGCACGAGACACTTTCTGCCGGACAGCGACCCGTGGGGTGGACCAGAAACAGTGTACAGCTCAAATCCGCAGAGGTCGCTGGGCTTTATGTGTCCATTTTGCCTCTGCGTGACGCACTTGCCGGCCCAACAGGACTGCGGACACGTCTTGTGCTTCTCCTGCCTCCAGCAGTCCCTCTCTACAGTTGGCGCTTGTACGCTGTGTCAAGCACAGCAGATGCTCGAGATCCGTGAGACGGCGCTACTTGCTGCGCCAGAACAAACGATGGGAATGCCATGTGTTCGTGCAGAGCGAGCTGGTCATTTGCCGGTACATTGATCTCTTGGGTCGTTGAAAGTGTATGTTCGTGGTTTGGTGCAGTTCTGAGTGATTTTTGATGTCTTGTAATGTAGATCTCGACGTCGGCTCATTTGTCAGTATTACAAAGAGCTGTTGGTCAAGCGGACCATGTGCATGTCAGTAGGAACAAGCACAGCATGTATGCTGACACGGACATGTTTGCGGGCTACGAGGCAAACAAAGGGTACGAGGATCTCGTGCCAAATACCAGTGCAGCACCGTTCTTGTTCGACAGTCTGAGTGATTTGGATGACCTTATCGATCTTGATGATCTGGTTTCGTCGGACAGTGAGCAGCCTTCGTCATTGGTAGCAGAATTCGTCTCTCTGGATGAAAACGTCACTGTGGAACCTTCGCGCCATCCACGAACATCGCTACCAAAAAGGAGCTTTGATTCGTATGGACAACCGCCGACGGTTGAGGAGACGCCTACTATATCAGTGCCGAAAAAGTCATAACCGGCTAGCATTTGTGCATGCAGCAAGAAGACTAAAGCGCGTAAGTTGAAGCGCGGGGAGCTCGGCGCTACTCGAATGGAGTGGCAAGTAGTGCGTTCAGAGGGCTCTCCACCGGATCCACGATACGATTGTGGGCTCGCAATGTATGGAAACGTTATGATTGTTGTAGGCGGCATCGTAGGCGAGTTACGGCTAAATGACCTATACACGTTAGATCTTGCCGCAAAGCCTTTGCCTCAATGGATTCGACCGCCGGTTGGCGGTGTATCGCCACCATTAGGCCATCTCCTCCAGATTTTCGTCATTGACGACAATTTGTATGCGATTGGTGGCACCACTGATGGTAATTTTCTGACGGAACTTCACCGACTTCACCTCAGTACGTTCACCTCGCAAGTTTTGCATTGAGCAGTTTAGTGTATCCGATTGACAATCACCTTGTGCGTGTGTTGCGAATCAGAGTGTAGTGAGTGGAAGTGGGAAAAAATTGAAGTGGCTGGAACGCCTCCGTCAATGCGGTATTGGTATTCATTGACAGTGTTGCAGGGGATGGCAATATTGTACGGAGGCTACGGCCACCCTCGACGACTGAGTGATACGTTTGCGCTTCGCTTCGGTTCGTACTCTTGTTGCATCGATTGTATGATGAGGTCTAATCGTTAGCTTGCATATAACAGACACCGAGGTTCCGACATGGGTAGAACTTCAACCTCGCGGAGAGATTCCGGGATCGTCGTCGACGCACTCAGTATGCGTCATCAACGATCGCATGTACATATTTGGTGGATACGACGGCAAGTGTCGTCGTGGCCAGCTTTTTTCATTCGAGATCGGTGCGTGTTTGTCAGGAAGCGTATGCGAGTATTGAAGCCAATATGGTATTTCTGGTGCAGAAGATGCTTCGAGTGAGCACATCGATTGTGTGTGGTGCAAAGTAGAGACTCAAGGGCGTGGCCCTGCATTGCGCTACACGCATTCGAGTGCCAGTATTGGCTCGCAATTGATTGTCTACGGAGGTAATACCGGGTGCTTGAAAGGCGACGCGTATGTGCTGGACGTTGGAGCAGGTACTACGTTTGCAGCAACTGGTGTATGATTACTCGACTGATGCATGATTTTGTCGCCTGTAGACGAAGACATTCCGATTTGGAAACCGGTCAAGTGTGATCCCCCGTTGACTCCGCGTGCATGGCACCGAACTGTGGTTTGCAATGGCGCGATGTACGTATTTGGAGGCAACACTGCTGACGGGAAGGAGAATAACGTGGTGCGCATCGCGTTTTCAGCGGCTTAGATTGATCGTGTGTGGACGGCGTCCACCGCGGACATTTGTCAACGAATGTGGTCGCAGGGGACGGCGGCATGCACGCTGGACAAAGGCATAGAGATGCACTATGTGGGTACGATACAACTGGAGCATTGTTGGAGATGATGGCAGATGATAGCGGAGTTGCACATCGCCATTAGATGAAGGTAAAGATGTAATTGCGAGCTCGATGTGGAATGTGAGCGTGCGCACGGTAAAAGGCAAAATTTCCGGCAGCTACTTGTTGTCTGCAAGAAGTCACGCACGCGCGTACGCACGTGCTTGGCTCAAAAGTGATAACAATGCAGCATTCACATGCACGACGATTTTTCGATCCGTAACGCTTGAACTGTATACAAAAGTAAGAAATTGATGGTCACCGTCTCGTTCGGCGGTAACAAAATGTGCTAACTAACTGTTTTTCATCACCAAATGCATGTCGTCGATCGCACTTGCTGTTGTGTTTATTTGTTGCCGCATGGAATCATTACGAGTCTGCTGGAACTTTGTCGCTGCACCGGAAATGTCGCCGACTTGTAACACTGCTCCATCAGTGACGTCGTTGAATTTTGCTTTGCAATTCTCGTTAATATGGTACCTCTACCGATGCAGACTTAGGTCACTGGTGCCAAGTCCGTCCGAAAGAAAATCAAGCATCATACGATAAAGACCGCGGTGCTTGGCAAATAATAGGATGATCAGTGTCGATGGTCGCACCACGTTACTCGTTCGTCATAAGAACGCACGCCTTTCAATCATTGGCGACCTGTTTTCTCAAATTGTACTGACAATCCCATAGCAATCTCCCTGTATATATTTGTCGTGCAACATGTACATCGACAATCGGAGATCGACGTGCCAGACGATGTGTCTCGCCTGCTACAACAATAGAGCCGCGGCAACCATTCACTTCAACACGGAAGAATCAAATTTCACCGTTGCAGCTTCAAGTCAATCACGTTCCGTCCATTCGCTTTACAATAAACAAACCTCGCTCATTTTCTCTCTCTGATATCCGAGCGCGCCGTCTTTCAGCCTGTTCTCCTGCATTAGTTATCGATTCGTCACATCCTGTTCAATGTCAAGTCGGTAAACGCGGTGAACATACACAAGATGCGTCTCCTCGACGTCGTTGAACCGACAGATCCTTTGATCATGCTAACAAATTCATGCGAGGATTCACTTATTGATGTCGCCAGTCGTCGTTTACATGTGCACGCCAAACAACGATGTTTCTTACAAGCTTTTTTGTTACAGCCATGCTATAAGACCAATACGACATCTTCGATCTTTTTGCTCAGCATATCCCTCTCTCGTCTTAGTTCTTGTGCAGGCTAATCCACGCGGACTTCGTTGAGCTATCGACACCGTTTGCAGTCTCTATTGTCTTGTACAAGCAAGATCTGAAATGTAGTCGGACAAATGTCGGCCTTGCGAGACATTTAGGATGTCTCTTTGTACTTTCGACACACGCCACGTTCTAGTCAGAGCTAACACACAACCTGAAAGTTGTGTGTCAACACATGCCTCACTACAGCGATATTGGTACCAGAAAGTTGATATGGATAAAATAAACGACCATAGGTCGATGGCCTGGCCTTACACAGATCAAAATTATCGCTCTTAACTTTTGAAGTAGTGCGACGGATCAAGCCATGTTATTGACACACCAAAATGGATCATTGAGTATATTATATTTATGAAGAAAGCTATACAATATAACCTTGCTGAATAAATATTGATGAGATAGCACTGTCGAGTAAACTGGGTGCTTCACCTGCTTCACGCATGGTTGACGTAGTCTGTTATATTCGAAAAAAAACACGAATCGAGGCTACGGGTGAGCAATGGGTAGTGGAGCAGGTAAGCTATATTGAAAATTTGTAGTTTGATATCGTTAAAATGAGACAAGCGATGTTATACATTACGAAAGCTTCAACTGTAGGTTAAAAACAGTGTTACTTTTTCTTAGGCTAAGTGTGTCGCGTAGTGGAGCAGCCTTCCAATGCATGTAGAGTGTACGTGAGGTTTTGAGGCGCCTGCCTACACTGTGGTCATTATATGTGGCTTGTTATGTGCCCGTACAATTACCAAAGTGGGTCACAGGATACTCGTATCCTTCAGTAAACACATTACAACATAGACACTATTTGTACCGAGGCACGCTCTTACCAGATGACTGTTGAGACCTTGTGTAAAAAACACACAAGAGTGCGCACTACTGACGTCACATACACGTGGCGTGGGGTAGCGCAAACTAATAAACAGAGCTCAGTGTCTCTATATAAGTGAACAAGTAGAACTGTAATCATGTACTTAAGTTTCCTCAATAAACCATCTTTGTTTTCAAATAACTATATTAGACGACAATATCCTATGTAGGTTTCTTGCTAACCACCCATTGCATGCGTCCTGCAGCGATTGGTAGTCAATTTGGTTGATATACCGTGTACACCAACCAACAAGTATAGCACTCAAGAAAATACCCTTACGGTAATATTGCGCCAACATCATCTCTCCTGAGTAATGTTGATTGAAACTATCGTAATAGATGGTATTCAAAAATTGATACATTCGTATCAATTAATGTAACGGTATAACTTGTTACACGACTTGTTCGACGGGTAGCAGTAATCGTGTAGCGTGCGTTAGGCCCGACGCGTCGATAACCAGGCATTTAGGCCGGTGCACCGAAAATGCCGCCAAAGATAGCCGAAGCTAACATCTGCCGCTCGTCCGCGTTGCCATTCGCTCCGTCATCACTCGAGGGATCGTCGTTATCGTAGTTGCTATAATGGCGTACTCTTCTTGCGGCGGTTGTTAGATAATATGGGGAGGCTACGGTCCCTATTCGCCATAGACAGCTGAGTACCGTAGTACTATGCACCCGTACACACTTCGTCCACCTTGATTCTACGGATCGGGCGGGCCAGTACTAACATGTTTTCTGGCTTCAAGTGGAGCAGGCGTGATGTTATAGGGATTTGTCAGACTTATCGCATCTTGTACGTTTCTGACAGCTCCGCGCTTTACAGCAATGAAGCGTACTATATAATGTGGGTAAGCAGGACTGCCAAGCCCAGAAAATAGCCACCATGGTTATCATTGCCCTCCACTTGCTGACCATAAACGATCCTTGCTGGTCCACAACTAGCAGCTTGGTCAGATTCGAAATTTTAGGTTTCTATAGATGCAAAACAAGACGATAAATAGAGGCACGGCAGGAGCTAGTAGCTTTAGTAGGTTAGCATTGGGCAAAAAAATGGTCCAAAAATGTATAGTTAATTCACTTGCTTCCTCACTTGCTTCTATTGTCGGTTTCACTTGCTGCCGTATCGCCTCTCCCGTCAAACTGCTGTTGCCGCTTGTCTATATTCGCACATAGCTAAGGCTCATAGTTGGCGCACGCACGCCGACTAAAAGAGTTCATCACCTTGAGACGGCGTGGAATTTTGCCGCGGATAACGGCGTCGTTACGAATACTTATAAATGCGTAATGCAAATAGAGCACGTCAAACAATAAAACAGGCGCCACACCTGTAACGGGGTAGCCCGTTACACGAAACTGCCATTAAGAAGGAAATGGCAATCAAGAATATTTCGTTGAAATTTCTTTCAATAGTATCACGAAACACATTAATATTAGTGGGGTGACTGAAGAATCTATTTATTCGTCGATATTGTGACTATATCAGTCCAATAATCGCTGCTAGACGCGCGCAATAAGCGGTGAGTAGACGTCATCATACGTTTAGTTGTATTAATATAAAAAGTCAGTGCAAACAGAAGGGAAAGAGTCATAGGACTTAAATGTATCAAATCTTAGTTTTACTTTTGTTACAACTTTAGCCTTGCCTTAGTCGTTGGTCCTCCTTCTGCTTAGTTCTTACACTTAGTTGGGAAATGACCTCACTTTTGTCAGTGAAAGTTGACTCCGTATTAATATACCAGTACGTAACTGTCGGTAACCCGTTACAACACCTACTCGCCAGCCGTGGCATTATCCAAAATTCTGCAACAGACGAGCCTGTTAAAGCGCAGGGATCACCGGGACTTGACAATTTGCACAGTTGGTAAAAAACTCGAAAAAATGTAACAGGATCACACAACGACTGAAATCAACGAAAAGTGTGTGATGCACACAAGGAATGAGAAACCTTAAAAATGATATTAGAACACCGTATCAGTGATGGATTTTAAATTATGTCTACTATATAATACGAGATCTTATAGAGAGGTATTTATAAAAAAATCAGTATCTAGATAAAGTACATTATTCACACCGACGAAGGATGTGAAGCACTAGACGGTAAAATGCAAAGTTATATATTCAGTTTCTCAGTTGGCAAACTTGTTTACTACTCGAACGCCTACTGTAATCTTCAACTGCGCATTTGTAGCCGCTATGTCGCCCATTACTAATCCTACGGTCGCGCAGTACTAATCTCCACTTCACGCATTACTAATCGTACAGCCGCGTATTACTAATCGCACATCACATAGTACTAATCGTACAGTCGCGCATTAGTAATCAGCCCTTCTGCGCATTACTAATCGTCTAAACGTAATGTTAGGTTCTCACTCTCTGGTCGAAGTACCTCTTTGACATCAATTCTAAGGTTTACTTTTATTAAAAACAAATAAAGCTCAGTTCCCATTTTGATCCGTAAAGAGACGTGCCTCTCTGAGACTTCTTGTGATCTTAGAAGAGTCTAGAATCGCCTCGTCAAGGCAGCTGCTCGTAGAGCACACTGTGCTGTGGTTCTCTTAATCGTTGGTTTTATGGAACAGGGACCGTAAGCTCTCTTAGCTTGTTGACTATATACACCGAGTTATTCTAAAAAAAGCTGCTTATAAAGCGTAGAGTCTCCCACTACCTTATGGAGCTTTGCCTCTCCGCAACAGTTTGTAGAACTTGTAGCCAATTTACCCCTGAGTCTGTACGACTTATCTTCGGTGATGATAAAGCAAATTACTCCCCTTACTGA